GGGGGGGGGGAAGGTACTGGGGGCAAGAAAGATGAGCGGATCGGGCGGCATGAACAGGTGTATTATAACGCGCACGGCACGGGCCGCTCATACACAAAAAAATTCTGTCTTAGATTAATGTATGCAAGCACTCCAAAGCCTTACTGCTTCGTTTTGTATCTACGCATGCTAGCCTCTTCACTCACTCTTGCCATTTTATGTCTTTTCTCGTGCCCAACGTCCGTGGGGACCGAGCCCTTCCATGTTTCCCAACCGAACCTGCCCCGCCGCCCATGTCCCCCCAAGCCTCGCGCTCCCTACCTATCACCTCTTCCTCCTCCCTCTATCCCTCCCTCCCTCTGACCCTCCCTCCCTCCTTTCCAGCCTTCGTCCCACCGCGACGCTGTCAGTGGCCTCCCCTCCGCTCCCGCTTTTCAGGTACAATCCTTTCCCCTCTAATACGTTTCCTCCCCCGCTCCATCATTGAAGCGGCACTTTCACGCCCCATCCCTCCAATATTTGTTTCTGTCTCGGTCCACTATGCGGGAGTCGGGTCGCCCCCCCTCAACCCCTTCTTGCATCCCCAACAGCTCTTTTATGATACCTCTTTCTCTTTGTCACCCTTTTCTACATTCTATATCGCATGGAACGGACCCTTGAAGCAAATCCCCCGCTCGGCATTACCTTGAAGAGTCGCTCTTCAAACATCCGAAATTCCGAAACCCCGAAATCCCGTTACCATTCACAGCACACATCCTGTACACCCATCCCCCCTTCCTGTCCAATCCATCCTTCCTTGCCTGGTGCCTTCCGGTCATTACCTCGCCCTGGATATTCCGTCCTCCCCCTGCCTAGCTCTGCACATAGCGGCCTTTGGGTGTGTACGTGATGTCTTCGTAGGTCGGGGACGGAGACTGTGGCAGCGGGGTCCACGGCGAGCGGCGCGCCAAGTCCGAGGTCACGGGTCGTGGTTTTCGAGACCGGGACGAGGAGGAGGCAGTGGAGGAGGAGGCGGTCGAAATGGAGGAAGCGTGGCGGGCGGCGAGGGAGTGGGAGCTGGGCGGGGTGGGGAGGACAGAGGTAGAGGAAGCCATCAGGGCGGGAATCCCTCGTAAGGGCCCCCCTGCCGCCGTGGCCCTCTCCCCGGGCGCGAAGGGACCGACGGGGCTGTGCGGTTGAGGGAGGGATCCCGTCGCCTTGGCAGCGGCGGACGAACCGACCGAGGAGCGGTGGCTGCTGTTGCTGCTGCTCCCATTGGCCGAAACCGGCGAGAGGTTGCTGGAGGCTTGACGGATGCAAAGACCAAAAGAATCCGAGCACAGCTCCAGCTTGCGCGCCTGCCACATGGTCATGGGCTTAAGGGGAAAGTCTCGTGAGATGCTTTCTTGTTCCAGAAGCTTCTCGAACAAAGCCCGGAGTTCGAAGTAGTAGCGCGTGTAGAGGGCCTGGGTGACCGTGGCTCGGTACTGGAGCAGCTCCAGAAATTTCCGCTCCACCAAACGGATCCGTTCGAGGGGGAAATCGGGCAAATGAGGGGAGAAAGAAGAGAGGGCGATGCAACGGTCGTCCCACACTTTCTGCGCGAGGAGAAGAGCGACCAGCACCACCGCCCGCCAGTTACGGGCGTGCAAGGGTAAAGAAGTCGTGGATATGACCCGATTGATGTAAACCAAGGCAATGATGTTGCATTCGGGCGAGAAACGCGCCCGCTTGAAGATACCTTCGATGAAACAGTGGATCTCCTCCACCGTCACCTCCTCTTCACCTTGACTCTCCGTGGGCCCCTGACCTTCCATGGCCACCACGCCCTCCCCTCTGCCTGCCTCCCCTGTGGCCACAGAAAGGGGGGGCTCGAAACACCGAAACTTGTCCCGCAGCGCCTGGTTGGTGTTGGCGGCCTCCTTGTCGTGCAGCATTTGTACTTGGAGGACGCTCGCCATGCACAAGATGATCTGGTCCGCGTGGGGGTTACAGGCGGTGTTGCGGCAGAAAATGGAACTGGTCGAGTTGGGTGTGGTGCCCGTCATGAGCAAAGGACGGTAGAT